CAAACTCCAGGAAACACGTACCATCCACACAGCGTTGCACGATACCGACTCTCTGAGCTCGATTTCAACAGAGCCATTTACCAGCATAAAGCACCAGGTGAATTATGTAATTAGTATTATTAAAATGAAAATAAAATTTAAAAATATATCAAATATCTCTCAAGGTGTGCTAGAAACTTAAGGGGTAATGATTGATGACCAGCTACCCTCTACTGACTCTCAGTCTTTAGATGATCTTTGTAAAAAATCTTGAAGATCAGAGCTGGTCTATTCTACCTGACATCCAGGCATGTTTCATCTCAAGAGCAGATGACTGCTGCTCTTTTGTGACAGGGCTTCCAGTGTGCGCTGTGAAATCACTGCAGGTGATTCAAAATGCAGCCTGTCCACTGTACCATATGGCAAAATTTCCTGCACCTCTGTTGCATCTCCATCATGACCATCACCACTGACACCTTCACCAAGTTCATGTTCTTGGTGCTCTCAGCACTGAGAAGGGAATGCCACCAGGTAACGTGTTAGCATCTACGTTCCATCTCACCCTCTGTGGTTGACAAGCCAGCAATGCCTGGAAATCCCGCCACCATTTGAAAACATGTCTCACTTTAGAATCTGAAGCTCGGGTGTTAATGGTACGTGTAATTCCTCTAGCGGAAGGTCTCTGATGACCTTGAAGAAACTTAAGATCCATCTCTACTTCAGCCTACTGATCTTCCCTGATCTTTCTCTTCATTGACTGTTCCATTGTTATCATCTCAATTGGCCACAATGGATGCTCATTTCTTGTATTCTGTCTTTATCTAGCAGTAACCATGTCATGTCATTTTGATTTGCCTGGTATTTCTCATGCTGTTTAGTGTATCTCCCTATATCTCTATCTCTCGCACCTGTTACCAGACATTAATTAGTAGCTTGGCCATGCAGCACTCGTGTGTAAGTTTGACAAGGTAAGTACTTGTCATTTAATATCTGCCTTGTACATCGCTCTGGAGAAGTGGCTGCCGAATAAATGAAAGTGACCAGCACAGTGGTGAAAAGGAGCATGTTTGACTGTGTTTGGGGAACTTTGCTGTGACAATTTAACGGTCCCTTGGTGAAGGCAAAGGCAGCCTCTCCCCAGGTTGCGATGGACTTATGTTCCAATGAAACCTATCGTAAGGTGAAAATGCATTTTAATACAGTACACCTAACCTAACAAACACCATAGCCTAGCCCAGCCTACCATAAAAACATGCTTGGAACACTTACATTATCCTATAGTATATCCTATATATATATCTGTAATGATATCATAACACATATCACACATTTTACTAGGCCAGCAATATGTATCTAACAGTAAGCAGAAAAAAGTCAGTTACTCAGTTGGACTGGAGATGTTAACAGACATTAACCATGAAGTGTTGATATTAAACTTTTTATCTTTGTGTGTTGTGATTTCACCTAGATGTTAATCAAAACACAAAATATACTAAATTTATATCATAAATGAACCTACAGAAGGAACAATGCATTTAACATTAGATTGTGGGCTTTGTTTTATATACAGTTTGGATCTTGAGAGAATATGGTACCAATTAGATGGGGACTAAGATGGTGCATTAATGTTTAGGGGAGTCAAATAGCAGGATGGACAGGAAAGACCCGACGAAGCGTGTAAGAGAGCAGCAAGGCAGCATCTTAATAATGCAGGCGTCAGAGTTAAATATGGTTTGGCCAGGTTATGAAACCTTTATGTCTAGTTCACAAATATTATACGCTGGGAGAGGTTCTTGTCTAGTGTGATGCTAATGAATGTAAAATGAATGTGAAACGAATTATTAATTTTAAATTAACCGGAAGAAAGAAACAAAATAGTGGAAAGGTAAACAAATCTGTTAACTGTCTGTTGAACTAAGTGTACATCAATCAGTTATAATTATGCATGTACCATGAATACACCTAACTACTATTGTTGTACACTAAAGCTAGTTACACCTGTCTAAATTAACAAAAAATAAATGAATAATATTCCAGAACAAACAACCCACTGAAAAGTAAAACAGCTAAACAAGTGCTAAACAACAATAAAAAAATAACATAAAATTATCACACCATGACAGTTGTTTCAAGAGAAGTCATTCCTGATTTGAGTGATATTATAAGAGCATAAGAGAGTTACAAACGAGAGGCCATTCGGCCCATCAAGCTCATTTGGAGAGCTCAATTAATAGCTCAAAGTTGGTAAAATCTTATCTAGCTCTGATTTAAAGAAACCCAAGGTTGTAGCTTGCATTACACTAACAGGAAGACTATTCCATATTAACCACATGCTGTGTAAAGAAGCCATTTGGCTGAACAGCATCCAGCTAGACCTGTTAGAATCTTATATACCTGGATCATGTCCCCCCTTAGTCTCCTTTGCTCAAGGCTAACCTCCTTTGCTAAGTTCAGCTAACCTCTCCTCATAAGACATTCCTCTAAGACCAGGAATCATTCTTGTAGTCCTATGTTGAACCCTTTCTAAGGCAGCAATGTCCTTTTTAAGGTAAAGTGACTAAACCTGCACACAATATTCTAGGTGGTGTCTTACCAAGGAATTGTATAATCTTAGCATCACCTCCCTTGACTTAAACTCCACACACCTTGAGATGTAACCCAACACCCTACTGGCCTTTTTAATTGCTTCCCCACACTGGCGAGAGTGGGACATGGAAGCATCAACATACACACCAAGGTCTTTCTCATAATTAGCTACCTTTATTTCAGTGGAACCCATAAAATATCTGTACTTTATATTTCTGCTCCCTGCATGGAGTACCTTACATTTATCTACGTTAAATTTCATCTGCCAGGTATCAGCCCAGTCGCTAATTAAAGTAAGATCCTGCTGTAGCCTCTGTGGTGCTAATTTAGTACCTGCTACACCACCCTCCTTGGTGTTGTCTGCAAATTTAACCAGTTTACTGTATATATTGTTTATGCAAATTAGCAATAATAGTAGCCCTAAAATTGAACGCAGGCCTACTGTGACATTGTGCCTCTAATAACTACTTCACTATTTCTGCGATTTATTTATTTTTTTAGCTTGGTTAGGCTAGAGTTAACTGGTGAGAGACAATGGAATTATTGGAAACTATAATATTTTATCAAGGGAATAGAAAACATTTTGAAGCTTTTAAGCATGGATGGATAACTCCACCCTAGATAAAATGCTAGCAATTATTGCATAATGTGACATTAGCTAAATGTAATCACATTTTATATGAGCAAAGATGATCTACCTGAAATGTATGTTCGTGTAAAATCCACTGAATAATATTTGAGCATATCTTACAATACTCCACCCTGAGGTTGTGTGTGTGGGACTAGTTCACTTAGTACCTCGACAGGTTTTTTCAAGCAGGCTGTCTGGTGACTGAAATTCTGCAGAGTGTATGACTCTGTGTGTGATGGGTCAGCGTGCGGCGCCCTGTCGCCTGTGCTTTCTGTGCTCTCTGTCACCCTGCATTTTGACTCTGTGTGTGATGGGTCAGCGTGCGGCGCCCTGTCGCCTGTGCTTCCTGTGCTCTCTGTCACCCTGCATTTTGACTCTGTGTGTGATGGGTCAGCGTGCGGCGCCCTGTCGCCTGTGCTTCCTGTGCTCTCTGTCACCCTGCATTTTGACTCTGTGTGTGATGGGTCAGCGTGCGGAGCCCTGTTGCCTGTGCTTCCTGTGACCCTGCATTTTGACTCTGTGTGTGATGGGTCAGCGTGCAGCGCCCTGTCGCCTGTGCTTCCTGTGCTCTCTGTCACCCTGCATTTTGACTGTGCGTGTGATGGGTCAGCATGCGGCGCCCTGTCACCAGTGCTCAGTGGGCTCTCTGTGACCCTTCCTTATGTGCAGGAATAAATCAAATCATATAAAAGATGGATGCTTGTAGATCTAGTAATATTTATTACCAGTGTAATTTGATTTACTATGGGAAATTTTACTTACATTGAGGAAAACCGAAATGTAGATTGTAGTCCATGCATTTACTTATTTCCATTTTAATTGCTATTTTGATCAATCCACTGTTTCCCCTCCATAGTTCACTTAAGGACAAGGAAGCCTGTGGTAAATGCTGAGCCAGTACTTACCCAGAATAACACCTGGTCGCTCCCATAGCAACGTGGAAAAGCAGTTTGAGTTTGAAAAATGTCACATTTTCAACCTTGTGGGTGCTAGCACAAGGTTATGTAAGTGTGTTTTCCTTCCACCCACGTCTACTTAAAGTCTTCGACAAATTAGCGATCACCTACCTTAAACAAAGATATGTGAAATTAATGGAAGATCTAATGGTGGAAGCACCACACCTGTTTTTGGCCCATATGAAACACAAGTTGCCAGGCACATTCTCAACTGGCTGACAGCTGTTTTATCATAGAACATGACCTTGGCATATCTTATGATTCGTTTTAATGGCTTTTCTGTGTAGCCTCATGTGCAGATTTGTGGAACCTCCCTTGTGTGACCAATTGAATTCAGGTTCTGGTTTATTTCGGTTTTAGAACATTTCATCCATCTGTAGAGAGTATCCAGGGGTAAATTTCAAATTTAATATTTAAAAAAACTAGATTCTCAGAGACTTTTATTGGTCCAATACGAATATTTTAGTGCTTAAAATAATTTGTAATTCTCAAGACTGGTAGCAATACACTAGATCAATAAAGACTGAACACAGTCACATGAAAAATAATTTTTTTGAGAACAACCCCATGATTTAAAATGTCGGAAGAAGAAACGGTTAGGAAGTCTCAGTCTCAGTAATATAATTTTACTCTGGAAAGGCAACACTCCTCTACATTTACATTTATGTAGCTCAGTCAGACCATTGAAAGCAACTACATAACAATTATACAGGAAGTATTATGGCTATGACTGAGCACCATAAGTTACATTACAGTGGTGGATCAATCAGATGTCATTACAATGAAAATCTTCTCTCCACCCCCAAACAGCAGAGTGCAGCTTATCAGCATGCTGTGGGGTGGACCACATGTAGGTCACGTGATCCACCCCACACCCTGGGCAAAGCGTGCCAACTTTGTGCTGATTGGTCCAAGATTAGAAGCTCAGAAGAATTTAAGGCCGGCTGTCCAGACCCATATCATGCCAAATGGCCAACTCAGGTAAGTGGCTTCTGACTGTTTTGCGCATTAAGTAAGTTCCTTACTTTTTTGCTCTTTTATCAGTTGTAGGAAGGTGAAGAAAATCAGTAGTCTGACGCATATAGAGTAATTTGCAGAAATCTTAACCCACCAAAGAAATTGTTTAAAGTTATTTAAGCAGGTAGATATAATACATTTGTTAAAAATACCATAATTTTACATTAACATATGCAGCATATGCAAATGAGAGAAACACAATTCGCAGGAACAAGAATTTCTTATGTTCAAAGAGTTTCTGGTATCATGTTGGATGGCTGGAAGGGCACCACTGAAGTCCCCAAATCTCTCCTCAGGGTCACACATTATTTATACTTATATCACCTGCACTTTAAATACAAAGTTCTGTCATCATATGCACTTGTACAGTTTTTAACCTGAAGTTTATTGCCTATATTAGTACTTCTGTATTTATACATGTATGTATACATTTTTAGTTATTGTAACTTTTCAGTTTATTGTAAGATTTTTAACTGTTGACTTATTCTTAATTCAATTTTTGATTTCATTTGCACAGTCTAAGGGACGTTCAGGGTACATTTCACTACACGTTATACTTGTATAACTAAGATCCACTTGTATAATCTTGTATCCCCAGCCATTCCACATCTTTTAAAATTTTCACAACCAACTCACTTAATTAGTTAAATAAGATAAGTTAGATAGGATTACCCGAACATAACATGCTAGTGGTTGAGTCAACAAATATGCAACTTTCAGACTTTGAAAATTTGACAGACATAAAATCAGTTTTGCACCAACAGAAAGAAAATTTAAACACCATTTTGCCATCTTAAGACTTTTGCTCGCTACTGTATATGTAATTAAGTTACTGAAAGTAGTCTTTCTTTGACGCAAGGTTTTGCATTATTCTACATCTGTCCATATTAGCTGCACCTTCTGTGTTGTTGTACTAAATGATGCCCTAAACATAAGTGTGACCTGGGGCTATTTTTTGTTAATCTGGAAGACTGACTATGCTGTATGATTTCAGCCATGGGGATCAGAGGGCTGCTCTCATGCTGTGCAGCGCTGCTGCTGTGTGGTAAGTACTGAAGGACAGTGACTTTTCATCAAAATCATATTTATTAGTATTATGGTTATTAACATCAAATGTACAGACATCACTGCTGTTTTCACAATTATCTTATAACCAGTCACAGTAACCTGAATGTGAAAGAGGCGCCCAGCAAATGCAGCACACCAGCAATTCAACGACGTAGCAAAACAAATCAATATCACAGAAAAACACAAGTGCTTAACAGTAGCTTAGTCATCCCCAAAACTCCCATGCTGTGCTTCTTAGTCAGTACACAACATTTACATCCACGAGAAGACTTTCGTATTTCTTTAACGTTTGTGTAGATGTGTCTGGGTAGCATAAGTGTAAAATCTAAATGATAGCAATGTACCCAGTAAATTGGGAATTAATCAGACGTCCGAAATTCATTTCATGATAACGTGGCTTAAAAATAATCTAATTACCCTTGATTCAATCAAATAATTGTTGACTTCAATCAGGTTTAAATAGAAAAACAATCATTATTAAATAGTTGTGTATTATTAAATAACTAATATCCATGAAAAGCTGCTGAATAGACCAGGGCATCCAAAAGAGGTGCAAATTAGGGCTGTCAATATCGATTATATTAATAAACGAGGAAAATACAGATTAATCTGACGATTCACCTGAGGAGTAATCGTTTAATATAATATAATGTAATATAATATAATATAATATAATATTAAGCTGCAAGTTTTTGGACAGTGGAGGGAAACCGGGGGACCTGCCGAAAATCAACACACACACAGAGCGAACAAGCAAACTCCACACACACACACAGCGGCGCTGTGCCACCCTGACAGGCCTGTACGACACGCAATGTTAATATCTGACAGGCCATTGCATTTTCATCTACTTTTAATGTGAAGTGCTTCCACGCAAATGATGTTTCCTTAATTTGGATCCTCAAACCCTGTGCGCCGCCATCCTTCGGCCATGTTGAAGAGTAATCTAGAAGGAAAATTTTAATCGCGTTTTTAAATAATCAAGTTCAATCGAGCAAATGTGACAGCGCTAGTGTAAATCCGTTCCAACCCGTCTTTCATGTTCGTAGGGTTCTGCTCTGCGAGACGCGTCGAACCCGTGTCGAAAGCTGGTGCCTGTTGGGCTATGGGTGACCCACACTATCGTACCTTCGATGGACAATACTTCAACTTCATGGGGAACTGCACCTACATTATGGCCAAGAACTGCCATGTTGATGATGACCACCCCAGCTTTCAAGTGGAGACCAAGAATGAAAACCGTTTTGGGCTGCAGGTCACCTCAGTGGGTGCTGTCACCATCAAAATCTATGATGCTGTCATATCCATTGTAAGCGGAGAGTTTGGGCTTGTCAGGGTAAGCAAACATAATTCATACTATGATTCTAAAATGTGTCACAAAATATGATTTTGTCAGTATGATTTCCTTTTTATGTGTGCAGTGATATTTTGATGAGTTTTGGCTTTAAGCCATAAAAGGGACTATTAATCTGAATGTTAGATCTTAATCTGAATGCAGAGAAATAACACATTTAATAGTTATATATATATATCTTAACTCTTATTATACAAATTGACAGATGCGTTATTTACACAGTGATTAATTTTTGTAGATTGATGACGAGATCTGGAGTCTCCCAGTCAGTTTGAATAAGGGCACCAGCAGGGCCAACATGTACCAGAGTGGTATGTCTGTAATCCTAGAGGCAGACTTTGGCTTGACGGTTCAGTATGACTGGGAGGAGTACATCTTGATTACTGTGAATGACAGCTATGCCGGCAAAGTGTGCGGTCTTTGTGGGGACTTCAACGGCAACCAAGATGATGACCTCACCACTCCAAGTGGCACTGAAGCTGGCAGCATAGTGGCTCTGGGCAAGAGCTGGAAGGTTCCAGGGGGAGCAGGTGATGCTTCCTGCCAAGATGAGTGCTCAGCTCAGTGTGAGAACTGCAAGAGCAGCGGGATCAAAAAATGGGAGGCAGAGGTCTTCTGTGAAGTTCTTACAAAGATCATGGATGGGCCCTTCAGAAGCTGCAAAGCCATCATTGAGCCCAAGTTCTACAAAGAGATGTGTCTTTATGACTTCTGCATGGGCAAGGGAGTGAAGAAGTACCTGTGCAGCACCCTGCAGGTGTACACCGACACCTGCCAGCGAGCTGGAATCAAGGTTTTCAACTGGAGGGGACTGGCTGGCTGCCGTAAGTAACCTGTAAAATGTATGTATATAATACAGGGGCATACAGTATACAGGTCTCTGAAGTAGGAGTACACAGCTGCATAAAGCACTCAACTAGTATCAGGCAGTATTCTGTTGCCATGGAAATCTTTTTTATTCTCAGGATCTGAAATGATTCCTCTCCAATTCATCTACAATCCGATCATTGTAAAGTAAGAGAGGCTGAGTATGTTCCTTTTGTTTTGTGTTTGTTCTTCTCAGCTGAGCCCAAGTGCCCGGAGAACAGTCACTACGAGCTGTGTGGAAACCCCTGCCCTGCTACATGTGGAGAACCCAGTTTGTCCTCCTTGTGCAAGGGTGACTGTGTGGAGACCTGTGCTTGCAATGCAGGTTATGTACGGAGTGGGAACAAGTGTGTGCTTCCCTCCGAGTGTGGCTGCTGGTATAAGGATCGCTACGTACAAGCAGGAACCACCTTCTGGGGAGATGGCAGCTGCAACAACCAATGCACTTGCAATGCTGGTGGAAAAATCACATGTAAGGAAACCAGCTGCCAGAATGGGGAACAGTGTCAGGTTGTTAATGGAATCAGAGACTGCTATCCAAGTTCTTATGCTACTTGCATGACTTATGGTGACCCCAACTACATTACCTTTGATGGGGAGCAATACAACTTCCGGGGCAGCTGTGTGTATCAGATGGCCAGTGTTTGCTCCAAAAGTGTCAATCTGGAGCCCTTTGATGTCCTGGTGCAGAATGACGTCAATGGCAACTTGTTTGGCACCAATATCAAATTGATAGAAGTTAAAGTGTACGGCCAAACCATCATTATCAGCAGCGAGTACCCAGGTCTGGTGACGGTGAGTGCATTTAATTAAAACTACTTAAACGTAACCATTCAATTAAGACTAATTTGTTTTCTTAATTTATAAAAAAACATCAAATGAGATATAAATAAATCAGCATGGTATGATTCTTTTATGACTTAATACATTCCCAGTTTTTTTCTCTATACAGATGACCCGTAGCATCTGCATAGAAATTATTGACAATTGTTAATAAAACGTATGAATTTTAAAAGTAAGCAAGATAGTGTCCCGTGCTGAATTATCATTTTTAAATGTTAATTTTGTGTCATTCCCAATTGCATTTCAGATAAATGGCGAGCTCTCCTTCCTTCCTGTAATACTGCTTGACAAGGTGTTGATATACATAAGCGGCTTCTCTGCTACGATCCAAACTGACTTTGGAGTAATAATATCATATGACTGGAGCAGTTTGGCTGCCGTCACTGTTCCTAAGACCTATGAGGGTGCAATGTGCGGGATGTGTGGGAACTACAACAGCAACCCCAAGGATGATATGCAGATGAGTGATGGAAAGATTGCGACAACTGGGCAGGAGATGGGTCAGAGCTGGCGTGTGGCAGAAACCCCTGGCTGTGTCCAAGGCTGCAACGGTCCCTGTCCTAGCTGTAGTTTTTTCCAGAAGATCTGGTATAAGAACGACCGTTACTGTGGCCTCCTGAAAGATGACCATGGGCCACTCAGTAGCTGTTTCTCCAAGGTAGACCCAACTGAATTCTATCAGAGCTGCATGAATGATGTCTGCCTCAACAAGGGTGAAGGCAGAGCACAGTGCACAGTCCTGGCTGCTTATGTTGCCTTGTGTCAGAAGAATGGAGTCCAAGTGTCTGAATGGCGATCTAGAAGTTTCTGTGGTGAGTGTCAGCCAGTTTTCATAGTTTTGCACGCAGAAATCATCCTCAGCTGTAGTCTTTGAGTGGCCTGCATATGCAAGAAATTACTCCACTGGGGGTTTAAATTATGAAGCATGATTTGATCTATGGATCATTTGTGAACCTTGCATCCATTACATAAAACAGTCTATGTGTTTTGCTTCCAGATAAACAATGTCCTGCCAACAGTCAGTACAGCCTTTGTGCCAGTGGCTGTCCAGCTACCTGTGGAAACTTGTCCCCTCCTGTTGGCTGTGACACTTCATGTCAAGAATCATGTGTCTGTGACAAAGGCTTCATCCTGAGTGGAAACAAGTGTGTCCCCTTTAACAAGTGTGGCTGTATGTTCAATGGCATGTATTACCATCTGGGACAAACATTCAGCCCCAATGCAACATGCGATGTGGAGTGTAAATGCACAGATGATGGACGTGTAAGGGAGCATAAGTTCTGGCATTTAATCATTTAGCCACTTGAACTCTTCTGAGGTCTTCTAAACCTGATATCTGCTTCTCAGGTGCTGTGTTCGAAACTCTCCTGTGCTGCCCATGAAAAGTGTGAGATAAGAAACGGCGTCAGAGGTTGCTACCCCTTCGGAAATGGCATCTGCTCCATTTATGGAGACCCTCACTACAATACATTTGACAACACCACCTACGATTTCCAAGGCACATGCACCTACGTGGCTGCCAAAGCCTGCCACATAGAAGGATCCCACCTGACCCCCTTCACAGTTGTGGTGGAGAATGAGAGATGGTATCCTCAATCCAGCCAAAAGGTTTCAGTCGCCAAGCTTGTGGCTCTAGAGGTCTATGGAAACACTCTGATTCTGCGGAGGAACCAAATTGGATTCATTATGGTTAGTGACAGAAAATTACCATGCTCTTGACTATCGCACTAATATCTGAATAATCATACATTTATTTGGGTAATTATGTAAAAATTGTCCTTAATTCAATATGTAAAATTAATAAAACCTAATACTGCAGCTATTGTACAGCCATATAATGACTATCAGACTGGGAAAAAACAGCCATCTTGACTAATCTGACCTCTTTGTCCTTAGATAAATGGTCTTATTACCAACCTTCCAGTGAACATAAATGATGGCCAAATACAGGTTTATCAGGAAGGTAATTTTTATGTGATCAAAACAGACTTTGGACTCACCATCAAGTACGACCTTGTGTATCACGTTATCATCACTGTTCCATCTAATTATGAGGGAAAGACCTGTGGTCTCTGCGGCAATTTCAATTATAACGCAAACGACGACTTCCAGCTGCCTGATGGCAAAACCACCAAAGACCTGTTAACCTTTGGGTTAGCGTGGAAAGTGAGTGTGTCTGGAGTGGTTTGTGATGATGGCTGCAGTGGGGACATATGCCCAAACTGTGACGAAAAGAAGAAGGCTCGCTTCCAAGGGGAATGTGAAATCCTCATAAATCCCGAAGGCCCCTTTTCCTACTGCCAAAAAATTATTGACCCCAACTCCTACTTCAGAGACTGTGTCTATGATACCTGCATGTCAGATGGTGACAACAAAATGCTCTGCCACAGCATCGCTGCCTATGTGGCTGACTGTCAGAACATTGGAATAGAAATCAAAAACTGGAGGACACCAACATTCTGTCGTAAGTATTTGGGGGATTCTTGAATTTAATTTACTGTAATACGTTTTCTGTTACAAGTATATTAAAGAAAGTCACATTGAAAAAAAGATACTGCCATTTGTTTGCTAAGGAAAATAACCTTTTGCATTAAATTCTGAATACAACTCTAGAAAAGACTTGTCTTTTGTTTGAACTTGCTAAAATAACATCAGGGCTATTATCTGAAAACTTTGTCTTTCTCGTCCAGCGTTACCTTGCCCTGCCAACACCCACTATGAAGTCTGTCAAGACACCTGCTCCAGTCCTTGTCCTGGCCTTTCTCACATGATAAAATGCACAGCCAGCTGTAATGAGGGATGTGCATGCAACTCTGGATACTTCTTCAATGGAACTGGTTGTGTCACTTTGGACCAGTGCAGTTGTTATGCAGATGGGCTCACTTACAAGGTAATGAGAAAAGCATTAAGTGTCTGAGTGAAGTCCTTTGCTGAGCTCTCTCCTGCAGCTCTAACGGAGAGACAAAAGATTAATACCTAATACAAATAGTAAAGTCGTTACCCTGTAACTGTATTGCATGACAAAGTGCTTTCGGCTATTTTTATTCTAGATTGGGGAATCTGTAATATCAGAGGACTGTCGAAAGACCTGCACATGCCAGGCATCTGGAGCAGTCGTGTGCAAGTTAGCAGAGTGCAAAGCAGATGAAACATGCCAGATCCGGAATGGCAAACGAGGCTGCTACAAGAACCAGTGTCTGTTGAAGTCCGGTGGCGATTTTACACTCTTCAATGGAATTAGTGGGGACATCACCATCAAGGGGTCCTACAACATTCTGGAGTTATGTGACCAGACCGTGTTGACTGAATGGTTCCGCGTGGTTGCAGACGTGCAGATGTGCGGTCAGGCTGGTGACGCCAGTGTTGTTGCCGTTCACACATTCTTTGAGGATATGCTCATTACCATTAACAATCATCATGACGTCTGGGTAAGCTGCACGCAAAGGGTCTTCCTCTGGCTTCCTGTTTTCTTCTTGATGAATCTGCTGCATTCAGGGATTAATTAAATCCTCCATGATAGGATATAACCAATGAATCTTCCCATATTTATACAATTTCTTCTTCTTTTTGGTCACCAGGCGAATGGAAGGCCGTTGTCTCTGCCTGCCGTCCTGAAAAATGGGATTTCAGTTACAGTCTCTGACCAAACAGTCATCATGAAAAACAAGTCGGGCCTGATTGTGTCCTACAGTCTGTCCCTGGATCTCGGCGTCACTGTCAGCGATGAGCTGTCTGACAAGGTGTGCGGTGCTTGTGGGAAAGTTAATAGCACCATCAGAAAGTCTGGTGGCATTCAGACTGACCTGGATTCCTGGAGGGCACCTGACTTTCCCACATGGTGAGCAATGAGTCTATATTTTATCTGCTATTCAATCATTTCAGGTCAATAACAATGGAAGATTTTGTTCATTGTTCTTCTGTCCAATTAACATTAACAGCTTAGTTTAATTTTATTGATATTATGAGCTACTTATAAGCAGCAAAATCAAAAATGTGTGATACACATAAATATGCAACTCACTATGATTTTGTACTGGATAAGCAGTTATTAAATTCCAATGGATGGATGAATAGATAAATATGTGATTGGTCTCGTCTAGCAATGTCACAATAATTTAAGTCACAGCAAAGAAAGAAAAACTATGTTGACACTAAGAAAAATCTTCCCTCTCTTACAGCTTGGTGTAAAACCCCAGAATTGCAGGAAAACTTCATATAGAGCAGATGATTTCAACAAATTGCATTTCACAAGGCTGAATAAACTTTTACAACAGGATCAATATTCAATCCTATTTTACTCCAACCTTCTTTTCTTTTAAAACTTGTGTTTCAAATTGTTAAGAAAATAAAGCTGTTTCAATAAAGCTGAATTGCAGATGTTTCATTTTACAGGAGATCATTTGTAAATAAATAGACATAGATCCAAACAGGCTCTTGGTCATTCGCTTCATCTGTGTCATTGCATTGGGTTACGTCTAACCTTTCACAAACATTGTATTAGTCACAGAAACATTTCACAGTAAATATATCTGAGCCGTTATGAAAAAAACTGTTTAGCTGGATGGACAATATGCCAGTCCCTCATTTCATATTATTGTTGATACAATAAAACTGCAAGTAAAGCTAGTCTGCAAGAGGACATGCAGTATGCAGCTAGAATACCTATACTGTACTGCACTGCACTTGCATGTGTGTGGGCTACGCTTGGACGTCAGTGAGAACAGTGATTACAGGCCTCTTTACATAAGGATGAATTATGCATAACATTTATATTAAAATATCGTTGTTGCCTTTACTGTCTGCCATTGACAGATAATACCTTTAGCTATACATGCAGCAACACATTGAGATGTAATTGGGGTAGCAATCGACAAGCTCAGTTACAACTAAATGGCTTTCAAATTAAATTACGTGAGACATGGCAGATGCTCCTTTAAGCCTCCTTTTTAAACAACATAGTTTTTCAGATAGATTTAGAATATTTTTAAATGGACATGTGATTCAACCCTTCAAATATCCCTGTCACCGTCAAAGACAGTACAGTCAAACCTCCCGTATCCGGGCAGAGTGGGACCGAGGGGTGTCCGTAAGTAAGAGATGCCCGTTACTTAGAAATACATTACAGTATACAACGTACATGTACACGTGTACACATACAAACTGCATGATATTTATGAGGTGCAAGGGTTATAATAGGATGTTATTTCAGCCTGAGCTAGCGAATCATCCCGTTTTATTCTTGCAGCGGTCATCCAGTTTTTAACCAGCATCAAGTGAGACGGATGATTTTTTCTTTATTCTTCCAAATATCGCCTACCGTAGACTTAGCCACTTCAAAATGGTCTGCAACAACTCTGTGTGATTTTCCTTTTCGTATCTCTATAATGATATCGAGCTTCTTTTGGCAAGAGGGTCTAGCTGCAGACGCCTGTAGAGTGGAGCTCCACCGGAAATACGTCACCTCCACAGGAAACACGTGATCTTTAAGGATGTAAAGTGGAGCTCTGGTTAGGTTTAGGGTTAGGGTTAAGGTTAAGGTTAGGGTTTATTCGCTGTGACACAGAGTTGAGGCCACGTGTTTCCTGTGGAGGTGACGTATTTCCGGTGGAGCTCCACTCTACAGGAGTCTGCAGCTGGACCCTTCTCTCTTTTGGAGGGACATGACACTACGCTTCCTTTTTGAAGCCATGGATTTTGTGCAGTTTTACGCGCCGCTGTAAGTTCAGCTCCGCCCACAGCCTCGTCCTCTAGCTCGCTCTCCATTCGACGTTCGCTCCGCCTCCACGTGCAGACTCCGCCCACAGCCTCGTCCTCTAGCTCGCTCTCCATTCGACGTTCGCTCCGCCTCCACGTGCAGACACCGCCCACAACTCTCTGTATGCTGAATTCGTCACTTCCGTCTTCCGAAGTGAGAAGTCCACCCCAAGACATCTCGGGAGCTCTGCTCACTTATCGATCATTGTTGTTGGTTTGCTTTTCTTTGATGGATATTACTGTGTATGATTTGTTTGGTTTATTGGGATTTCTGATTTTCGCTTTGCCCTTGTCTGTACATTTGCTTCGGTTTAATTGCTATTTGGTTTCGATCTCTTGCCCGGTTTTTGGTTAACGTCAGACTTTGACGCTTTGATCTCTTTGTATGCTCTGTGTGTGTGTCGCGTGCATGGGGAGTGACTGCCATTTTTGTTTTGCGAGCTTATGTGGTATGCTGTTGTTTGGATAATGGATACGGAAGCTGGGTTTTGTTTACTGTTTTCGCTACAGTCACTACAAGAAGTGCATGTCAGTTGGCTTCATCAAGATCCTGCCAAATGAATTTGCTCCACCAAACTGGATGAGAGAGAAAATATAAGAGCCTAATCAGTTCGGCCATATAGAATCCAACATCTGCCTGATCGAGGCTGCAAACATTTTTGTCAAACAATAATATTACATAATATCAACAATTTCACAAGCTCTTTACAAAATAGAGCTCTACAGTGCAGAGCCAAGCGGGCCATGACAATGACCCAAAAGACACTGTAAAAGGAACAGTGAATATATAGTTAGACATTGAAAGTCGTGGTATTTTAAATGGCACCGACTGATAAAGGTTACAGTTTTTCTCTATTGCTTTGATGCTGCAATCAACTCAAACTCCACATTTTCAAATCAGTTACACAGGCCTAAACAGTGGCACTCATGGTCAAAGTGGCACGTTTTGTTTGCAAAAGGCTCTAACCGTGCCAAAACATTTAAAATATGAAACAAAAGCAAAGTTTGCCTTCAAACAACACAACTTGCAAATAAGTGTATGAGCTCTTCCAATCAATCATTACACAATGGACAACAAAATTCAAAATGCAACGCTCAGTGCGAATCAGTGCACCATTGCTTGTCATTGTAGCCTATTACATAGCTGTCATGCCAGTGCCATCTGTTATCTTTCTACATAGGCTGTGTCAAATTTGACTTCTTGCAAAGAACTGGATCCAGAATCAGAAATGCTTTGATGCAAATTTTATTGATTCCATGACATTCTTTTTTTTCAAACTGTGGCCAAAACCTGAAATACTGTAAATATTACAGAAAATACATGTAAACCAAAATAACATCTATCAGATGCTAAGAAAATAAAAATAAAATCTATTACAATAAAGTATAAAAATCTATTACAGTATAAGAAATAGCCACTATTGATACTCAGTCTCTTCTGTCTTGACGATGGGGCCACATGGCTTCATCCACATCACATTCAATATCCTCTCTTGCACCCAGTGAAAAACCTTGATATACGCCTTGATTTATAGGTGTACAGACTGATTGCTGATTGCAGATTTGTGTGAAGGAGTGTCAAACAGGTGCTGTAGTGATTTCATACTGATCTAGGTAGGTTCTAATAGTTGGGTATAGATGGTTTCTGTTTGGTCACCATAGTTAAAACAATGGCGTTTGGGCAGCTTGAATGACATCCGTGTTAACTGTTTTGAAAATGGGTGTAAAAAATGTGTGAATCCAACGAAAAAGTGTTAACACATTCGCAGGACATGACTTCAGGTCTGCTGAGATGGTGATGATGAAGACCTAGTGGATCCCAGTTTCTTTCAGCAGGTCAAAGCAATCATGAAAAACTGTAACATTAAATCAATTTATATTAATTCATGCTGCAATCATAAAATGTGCTTTCAGATACAGTACAAACAAGCAAAAAATCTAATAGCATAAACAAGGCAAAAATTTCATTTAAAAATTATGCAACTCTAGGTGTTCATGCTGAAGTGGATATGTAATTATGTTATTCCCTAAAAAAAATAATCACTCGTGATCCTCAAATGTAGTTCTGCAAATGGTAGCTAAAAGAATAACAAGGTGTCACTGAATTCAGGATGAGAAAATATAGTCATACATTGGCGCCAGCTGTTTCCCCGGCCCTTCACGCCACGCCATTGGCATGGAGATGTCAGAGATGTTTTTAATTTTGCACTTACTGTAGTTTGTTTGTTGCACTTTCACCTTGGGACCACAGGTTTTTGTGATTATTTTTCTGTATCTGCACTTCAGGGCCGCAGGTTTTTGTGATTGTGTGCTGTGTCTGCACTTCAGGACCGCAGGTTTTTGTGATTGTGTGCTGTGTCTGCACTTCAGGACCACAGGTTTTTGTGACTGTGTGCTGCATCAACTTGCATGATACAGCATCTGCTGAATGCTGTTGATATAAGTGAGTTATAATATTTATGGTAATATAAGGCTTAAAACGTGTGAGGCAATAGTGGGTGGGAGGGTGGGTTTATAAGTATCAGCAAAAAACAGCCAAAATGACTTCCAGAAAATAGCATGAACATCTTTACTGTTTCGACTACATATAACAACTTACAATGCAATGCAGGTTTACTAAGGTAAAAAGATCAGTACTACAGTTTTGTACCGATTTAAGATTCCTTACTGATATGAAATCACCAATGCCAAATTTAAAACAAAATTACTGTTTGCTACATTCGTGGAAGTACAGAAATGCACTGCTGCTATTCATGTGGATTTCTGATGAGGTGTGGAGTTCAGGTGCTGCAAAAGGGAAATGGAAAACATTACTCGGTTACTCAGACTAAACAGTATTTCTATTTCATATTTTTTCAGCTTCTTGTCATTTTACTTATGCCATTAATTAACAATGCTTACACTCACTTGTCCTGTTTATGAACAGCTAGCTAGTCCTGTGCAGGTCAGACGAGTTCAGGCAAGCCAGTTCGCACATCACTATTTTGCTGATTTGTTTCTTACTATTAGCTTTGATGAGTCTGGCCATTTTTCTCATTAACAAGGCATTTTCAGTCAATGAAATGCCATTGACTGGATGCCATTGTATGTAAACCATGGTCTAAGCACTGTGATACCTGAAAGGAGGGTGACTATTGAGATTTGAGATACTGAAATACTGGGCCCCCAAATCACACCAATTTTTTAGGGCCCCTGTCCCTCAGGGGCCCTTGGGATCATCCTAACTCCAGGTGTATGTCTTCAGTTCGCTGTGTGGTGCAGCAGACTGCAGTGTTAGCTTAATGAAGTGGTCATTAATCAAGTAATAGAATAGTGTATCAGAATAACCACGAGTACATGTGTGATATTCACTGAACCAATCTTCCACTGGTTGGCTTCTAAATTAAGATTACATAAAACATTGCAGCAATTATCCTATGTTGTGTCTGAAATTTTACTGTATCTGACTCTCCCTGCCGGCCCCTGGAGGATGGGCTCCCCCTTTGAGTCTGGTCCCTCCCAAGGTTTCTTCCTTCTGGGGAGTTTTTCCTTGCCACTGTCGCTTATGGCTTACTCACTGGGGGCTTTGGGTGGGGATGCTGTAAAGCGCTTTGAGACGATGTAATGTTGTGATAATGCGCTATACAAAAATAAATTTGTTGTTTGTTGTTGTTGTTGTAATTGAAGAGCAAATTTCCAAAGCGCAGTTATTCCACGGAATATGTAAGTACCATTTTTACAGAGTCCATAAAGTGACACAAGGCAGGAAATATTCATGCTAAAGAGTTTTGCGCCGTGAGCACAAAAACATCTGCAAGACAACACAAATGCTTTTTGCAATGGATTGCAAATGTTTGGCAAGGGAACGCTAAACTGTTTAAAAATAATATTTCCCAACCCTGTCTCTTCATGAGCCCCTTACATTTCTGCAGAAAATAAATGAAAGTTCTTTGAATTACATGAGGACCGAGTGAGTTTTGGCTCCCAGCGCTGTAACATATGATGAAGAAGCCGGACTTTAGGTCACTGACGATCTCATCTCAAAAATAACACAGAATGAGTTGAGTGAGTTTTGAAAAGGCTCTTCCATCCTTCCCCGTTATAAAGAAAATACCGATGGGAAGACACTGAATTGAATAATATATGTATAAAGCCATTGCTCACCATGTGGGAAAGTCAGGCGCCCTCCAGGAATCCAGGTAAGTCTGAATGCCATCAAAATTTCTGATGGTGCCATTAACTTTCCCACAAGCACCGCACACCTTGTCAGACAGCTCATCGCTGACAGTGACGCCGAGATCCAGGGACAGACTGTAGGACACAATCAGGCCCGACTTGTTTTTCATGATGACTGTTTGGTCAGAGACTGTAACTGAAATCTCATTTTTCAGGACGGCAGGCAGAGACAACGGCCTTCCATTCAACTGGTGACCAAAAAGAAGAAGAAATTGTATAAATATGGGAAAATCGAGTTGGTACAAATATTCATTGGTTATATCCCAGATATCATGGAGGATTTTTTTAATCCCTGAATGCAGCAGATTCATCAAGAAGAAAACAGGAAGCCAGAGGAAGACCCTTTGCGTGCAGCTTACCCAGACGTCATGATGATTGTTAATGGTAATGAACATATCCTCAAAGAATGTGTGAACGGCAACAACGCTGGCGTCACCAGCCTGACCGCACATCTGCACGTCTGCAACCATGCGGAACCATTCAGTCAACACGGTCTGGTCACATAACTCCAGAATGTTGTAGGACCCCTTGATGGTGATGTCCCCACTAATTCCATTGAAGAGTGTAAAATCGCCACCGGACTTCAACAGACACTGGTTCTTGTAGCAGCCTCGTTTGCCATTCCGGATCTGGCACGTTTCATCTGCTTTGCACTCTGCTAACTTGCACACGACTGCTCCAGATGCCTGGCATGTGCAGGTCTTTCGACAGTCCTCTGATATTACAGATTCCCCAATCTAGAATAAAAATAGACGAAAGCACTTTGTCATGCAATACAATTACAGGGTAACGACTTTACTATTTGTATTAGGTATTAATCTTTTGTCTCTCCGTTAGAGCTGCAGGAGAGAGCTCAGCAAAGGACTTCACTCAGACACTTAATGCTTTTCTCATTACCTTGTAAGTGAGCCCATCTGCATAACAACTGCACTGGTCCAAAGTGACACAACCAGTTCCATTGAAGAAGTATCCAGAGTTGCATGCACATCCCTCATTACAGCTGGCTGTGCATTTTATCATGTGAGAAAGGCCAGGACAAGGACTGGAGCAGGTGCCTTGACAGACCTCAAAGTGGGTGTTGGCAGGGCAAGGTAACGCTGGACGAGAAAGACAATGTTTTCAGATAATAGCCCTGATGTTATTTTAGCAAGTTCAAACAAAAGACAAGTCTTTTCTAGAGTTGTATTCAGAATTTAATGCAAAAGGATGTTTTCCTTAGAAAAGAAATGGTAGTATTTTTTTCATTGTAACTTTCTTTATTATACTTGTAACAGAAAACTTATTACAGTAAATTAAATTTAAGAATCCCCCAAATACTTACGACAGAATGTTGGTGTCCTCCAGTTTTTGATTTCTGTTCCAATGTTCTGACAGTCAGCCACATAGGCAGCGATGCTGTGGCAGAGCATTTTATGGTCCCTGTCTGACATGCAGGTATCATAGACACAGTCTCTGAAGTAGGAGTTTGGGTTGATCAAGTTATGGCACTTGGCAAAGGGACCATTGGGATTTCTGAGAGTTTCACATTGCTCTTGCAATTGACCCTTCTTGTCCTCATCACAGTTTGGGCATATGTCCCCACTGCAGCCATCATCACAAACCACTCCAGACACACTCACTTTCCACGCTAACCCAAAGGTTAACAGGTCTTTGGCGGTTTTGCCATCAGGCAGCTGAAAGTCGTCGTTTGCCTTATAATTGAAATTGCCGCAGAGACCACAGGTCTTTCCCTCATAATTAGATGGAACAGTGATGATAACGTGATACACAAGGTCGTACTTGATGGTGAGTCCAAAGTCTGTCTTGATCACATAAAATATTCCATCCTGATAGGCCTCCACTACTGGAAAACTTCCATTGTTTAGCTTCATTGGAAGATTAGCCAGAATGCCGTTCACCTAGGAAATTAAGTGAGCATTTTTTAGGAACTCTTTATTCTACATATCAAATGAAATAAAACTAATAACTTAACCAAAAGAAGAGAGAACATGTATTAGTACATGTTTTTCACAGAGTTGCTGCAGGCTTATTCATCGGCCTTTGATCTTTGATGCTGGTCCATCACAGCCCTGTCTAGTTCATGCACACTGATTCACTGAACCATGTCCTTTTGGAAGTGCGGGAGTAAACACACGCCAAGACACAAACTCTAAATGCACAAAGCTTGATTCATGAATGAAAACTATGGGCAAGGCAGCAATGTACATCACAAAGTTATCATATTGCAAGTTTATGTTAAGGCCTATTTCGACTTAGACTACAATATATTGGAACATAACATGTTTTTTTACGTGATTGGGTATAATCTACTTTGATTAATCAGTGAAATTCAATTTACTTGCATGATTACATTTAAATATTAATTTAGAAATATTTTTGTAATTTTCTGTCACTAACCATAATCAATCCAATTTGGTTCCTCCGCAGAATCAGAGTGTTTCCATAGACCTCTAGAGCCACAAGCTTGGCGACTGAAACATTTTGGCTGGATTGAGGATACCATCTCTCATTCTCCACCACAACTGTGAAGGGAGTCAGGTGGGTTCCTTCTATGTGGCAGGCTTTGGCAGCCACGTAGGTGCATGTGCCTTGGAAATCGTAGGTGGTGTTGTCAAATGTATTGTAGTGAGGGTCTCCATAAATGGAGCAGATGCCATTTCCGAAGGGGTAGCAACCTCTAACGCCGTTTCTTATCTCACACTTTTCATGGGCAGCACAGGAGAGTTTCGAACACAGCACCTGAGAAGCAGATATCAGGTTTAGAAGACCTCAGAAGAGTTCAAGTGGCTAAATGATTAAATGCCAGAACTTATGCTCCCTTACACGTCCATCATCTGTGCATTTACACTCCACATCGCATGTTGCATTGGGGCTGAATGTTTGCCCCAGATAGTAATACATGCCATTGAACATACAGCCACACTTGTTAAAGGGGACACACTTGTTTCCACTCAGGATGAAGCCTTTGTCACAGACACATGATTCTTGACATGAAGTGTCACAGCCAACAGGAGGGGACAAGTTTCCACAGGTAGCTGGACAGCCACTGGCACAAAGGCTGTACTGACTGTTGGCAGGACATTGTTTATCTGGAAGCAAAACACATAGACTGTTTTATGTAATGGATGCAAGGTTCACAAATGATCCATAGATCAAATCATGCTTCATAATTTAAACCCCCAGTGGAGTAATTTCTTGCATATGCAGGCCACTCAAAGACTACAGCTGAGGATGATTTCTGCGTGCAAAACTATGAAAACTGGCTGACACTCACCACAGAAACTTCTAGATCGCCATTCAGACACTTGGACTCCATTCTTCTGACACAAGGCAACATAAGCAGCCAGGACTGAGCACTGTGCTCTGCCTTCACCCTTGTTGAGGCAGACATCATTCATGCAGCTCTGATAGAATTCAGTTGGGTCCACCTTGGAGAAACAGCTACTGAGTGGCCCATGGTCATCTTTCAGGAGGCCACAGTAACGGTCGTTCTTATACCAGATCTTCTGGAAAAAACTACAGCTCGGACAGGGACCGTTGCAGCCTTGGACACAGCCAGGGGTTTCTGCCACACGCCAGCTCTGACCCATCTCCTGCCCAGTTGTCGCAATCTTTCCATCACTCATCTGCATATCATCCTTGGGGTTGCTGTTGTAGTTCCCACACATCCCGCACATTGCACCCTCATAGGTCTTAGGAACAGTGACGGCAGCCAAACTGCTCCAGTCATATGATATTATTACTCCAAAGTCAGTTTGGATCGTAGCAGAGAAGCCGCTTATGTATATCAACACCTTGTCAAGCAGTATTACAGGAAGGAAGGAGAGCTCGCCATTTATCTGAAATGCAATTGGGAATGACACAAAATTAACATTTAAAAATGATAATTCAGCACGGGACACTATCTTGCTTACTTTTAAAATTCATACGTTTTATTAACAATTGTCAATAATTTCTATGCAGATGCTACGGGTCATCTGTATAGAGAAAAAACTGGGAATGTATTAAATCATAAAAGAATCATACCATGCTGATTTATTTATATCTCATTTGATGTTTTTTTATAAATTAAGAAAACAAATTAGTCTTAATTGAATGGTTACGTTTAAGTAGTTTTAATTAAATGCACTCACCGTCACCAGACCTGGGTACTCGCTGCTGATAATGATGGTTTGGCCGTACACCTTAACTTCTATCAATTTGATACTGGAGCTGAACTTGTTACCATCATATTCATTCTGCACCAGGACTTCAAAGGGCTCCAGATTGACACTTTTGGAGCAAACACTGGCCATCTGATACACACAGCTGCCCTGGAAGTCATATGGCTCCCCATCAAAGGTAATATAGTGGGGGTCACCATAAGTCATGCAAGTAGCATAAGAACTTGGATAGCAGTCTCTGATTCCATTAACAACCTGACACTGTTCCCCATTCTGGCAGCTGGTTTCCTTACATGTGATATTTCCACCAGCATTGCAAGTGCATTGGTTGTTGCAGCTGCCATCTCCCCAGAAGGTGGTTCCCGCTTGTACGTAGCGACCCTTATACCAGCAGCCACACTCGGAGGGAAGCACACACTTGTTCCCACTCCGTACATAACCTGCATTGCAAGCACAGGTCTCCACACAGTCACCCTTGCACAAGGAGGACAAATTGGGTTCTCCACATGTAGCAGGGCAGGCGTTTCCACACAGCTCGTAGTGACTGTTCTCCGGGCACTTGGGCTCAGCTGAGAAGAACAAACACAAAACAAAAGGAACATACTCAGCCTCTCTTACTTTACAATGATCGGATTGTAGATGAATTGGAGAGGAATCATTTCAGATCCTGAGAATAAAAAAGATTTCCATGGCAACAGAATACTGCCTGATACTAGTTGAGTGCTTCATGCAGCTGTGTACTCCTACTTCAGAGACCTGTATACTGTATGCCCCTGTATTATATACATACATTTTACAGGTTACTTACGGCAGCCAGCCAGTCCCCTCCAGTTGAAAACCTTGATTCCAGCTCGCTGGCAGGTGTCGGTGTACACCTGCAGGGTGCTGCACAGGTACTTCTTCACTCCCTTGCCCATGCAGAAGTCATAAAGACACATCTCTTTGTAGAACTTGGGCTCAATGATGGCTTTGCAGCTTCTGAAGGGCCCATCCATGATCTTAGTAAGGAGATCACAAAAAATCTCTGCCTCCCATTTTTTGATCCCACTGCTCTTGCAGTTCTCACACTGAGCTGAGCACTCATCTTGGCAGGAAGCATCACCTGGTCCCCCTGGAACCTTCCAGCTCTTGCCCAGAGCCACTATGCTGCCAGCTTCAGTGCCACTTGGAGTGGTGAGGTCATCATCTTGGTTGCCGTTGAAGTCCCCACAAAGACCGCACACTTTGCCAGCATAGCTGTCATTCACAGTAATCAAGATGTACTCCTCCCAGTCATACTGAACCGTCAAGCCAAAGTCTGCCTCTAGGATTACAGACATACCACTCTGGTACATGTTGACCGTGTTGCTTCCATTTTCTACAGTGACTGGGAGACTCCCGATCTCATCGTAAATCTACAAAAATTAATCACAGTGTAAGTAATATGCACCTGCATATTTGTGTAATAACAGGAAAGATGTACCTGTTCCATGTTCCTAAAGAACATGCCACCCGATCTACCTTGCACCCGACCCCCATGGCCCCCCTGCAGGTGAGGGGCCCACAGATGGTGGACCCACGTACTATGCCCGACCGGGCCCTATGGGTAGGGATCCAGCTACCAGGCTCTCGCTAATGAGCTCCCGTCCTGGTCTGACTCCAGGATGGAGCACCGGTCTCCCCAATCCAGGCAGGGTCACATGATCATTTATGTTGATCTTCATTGTGAATGACACTTTATCTGGCCACTCACCTTGGACCAATTTGCCTTTGGGGATCCTGCCAGGAGCAATAGCCCTTGACAACATACCTCCTAGGATCATGAAGGCACACAAGCCCCTCCACCATCATAAGGTGGTGATTCATGGAGGATGGGTTACTGCCCAAGTGAGGCAAGAAAGGAGCAGGATATCAACAGGCAGATGGGTGCAGTGTCTGCAGTAATGTAGGGCCAGCACTGTTCTGTACTTGTAAAGAGGGCGCCGAACCAGAAGGCAAAGCTATCGATTTCGTGGTCGATCTATGGTTCTACTGTCACCTACGGTCACGAGCCTTGGGTAATGACTTAAAAAATGAGATCACAAATACAAGCATCAGAAATGAGTTTGCTCTGCAGGGTGTCTGGACCCAGCCTTAGAGACAGGGTGAGGAGGTCAAACATTCAGGAGGAGCACTGAGTAGAGCTGCTGCTCCTCCACATCAAAAGGAGCCAGTTGAGGTGGTTCGGGCAACTATCTAGGATGCCAACTGGGAGGAGACCCGGGGCAGACCCAGGACCCGCTGGAGAGATTATGTCTCTTGGCTGGCCTGGGAATGCCTTGGCATTCCTCCGGAGCAGGTCTGGGCATCACTACTTAGACTGCTGCCTTCACTACCCGACCCCAGATAAGAGGTGGAAAATGAATGAACGAATTAATTAATATATAACTGTTGTTATAAATGTGTAATTTCTCTGCATTCAGATTAAGATCTAACATTAAGATTAATAGTCGTTCTTATGGCTTAAAGCCAAAATTCATCAAAAATATCACTGCACACATAATGCAAAAAATTCTATTGACAAAATCATATTTTATGACACATTTTAGAATGATAGTATGAATCATGTTTGCTTACCCTGACAAGCCCAAACTCTCCTCTTACAATGGATATGACAATATCATTGATTTTGATGGTGACAGCACCCACTGAGGTGACCTGCAACCCAACGAGATTTTCATTCTTGGTCTCCACTTGAAAGCTGGGGTGGTCATCATCAACATGGCAGTTCTTGGCCATAATGTAGGTGCAGTTCCCCATGAAGTTGAAGTATTGTCCATCGAAGGTACGATAGTGTGGGTCACCCATAGCCCAACAGGCACCAGCTTTCGACACGGGTTCGGCACGTCCCACAGAGCAGAACCCTACAAACATGAAAGATGGTTGGAACGGATTTACACCTCTGTTGGTGGAAACCTGCACAACCCTAGAGGTTTCAGACAGCAGCGTCTGCCACTGTGCCACCTGTGTTTAACCCATTTCACCAAAAGCATGATATTAAATGTGTTTTTTGTGCAAACTCCTAAGAATGAAGAAATGCATTTGGGGTTCTCGTCAGTTTAACAATGAACTGAAAACTAATGAAGGTCAAATATGGTTAATATCATGTAATGTCAGCTGGCTCTATGTTCTGACTATGTAGTGTTTTAGGGAGGAACAAACCACTGTATGTAGTGATGTGTGATTTTATTAAGCATTCCATTCTGCTTGCAGGAAGCAAGTTATTTCAGTCAGAAGTGATCATTTAAGTCGTGATTTCTGCTACAATTTAGGACAATCATCAAGGTAAAATTATGATGAAAGAAACAGAACTCAATGTCCTTCAGTACTTACCACACAGCAACAGTGCTGCACAGCATGAGAGCAGCCCTCTGATCCCCATGGCTGAAATCATACAACATAGTCAATCTTCCAGATTAACACACATCATTCAGTTAATCCTGCAAGGAAGATATTTCTGGACCACAATGCATAGGGTGTAATGTCAAAACAGGTTTAAAGGAAAGCCGGGCTTGCATTAAGGTACGAAAGCTAAGAAGGATTACTTTTGGCTCCTTATTCTCAAAAACAATATACGTACCATAAGATGTTACGTTAAAAACTGAAAAATCATAAAATTCTATTAATAAGCATTTTATGTATGGAAAGTATGAAAGAAAACAGGTACTTTATAACTATAAATAACTGGCAGGTAGGATTCTGGAACAGATAGCCGAAAGAAACAACTAGACGTCACTCACCTGATCTGGACAATTGGCCTAATGGTAAGTGGCCTTACGGGACATTACTTAAATTCTGCTGGGTCACCACTTGCAAGCCAATCAGGTTAGACCTTGCATGTTTGACAGTCTGGGGGACACACCCACGAGTCGTGTCCTGTCTTGGAAAGACTTCGCCAAGACCCCGGAGGCTGAGGATTATTTAAAGAAGTCACACTAAACTTTGTGGATTACTTCATTTTGTAATAATTTTCTTGATAACATGAATGTTCTCTGGAAGTTGCAGGTTATAAATCATCAGAGCAATAAGAATCATAAGAAGGACATCTTTTTATATTTTGAATGGATATTAATAAACTGATGATACTTAAAACTGAATTACACAGCATGCAGTTTTTTAAGAGATTAATATTTATCAATCCCCTTCTCATTTTTTAAGAGAACCCCAATTAAAATAACATAATTATGTGAAATGGTACATTTATTACTGGACCGTAGATACTGATATCAACAAATATTGAAGGTTTTTCCACTGACATAAAATCATAATTTGTCTAAATTGACTGAGCGCTTGAAAGAAAGTAAGGATTAAATGAATGCTGATTGGTTTCAGATATTCAGTGAAAAGAAAACCACAGCAAACAATTTATATTTGCCTGAGTGAAGAAAAATTGATGGGTGAAGGGAGTGTCATTTTCTATTGTTTTCAAATTTCACAATGCCATAAAGTAAACAACCTAGAGAGTAACAAACTTTCAGCTATAGGTGTTTCTCTCATACAGAACATATGCTCAAGTGTGTGTTACTTTACTATTTAATTGAAAGTGTGCCCATGTGGCGAAGATGTTGTCATACATTTGACAAACATGATTCGAGCTCTTCTGCAATCTTTAATACAAATAATACAACAAACTAAACAATACAGTGTGAGAAAAAAATAGGGTAAGATGCTTAAGAATCTTAAATTATATATTCTGCATAAAATTTGTAATACGTTACAAATAATGTTTTTGATCAAACAATGACAAAAGTGCATGACTATATGGGAACATAGAAATGCCAGACAGACAAAAGAAATGCCATTTGCTCCATTCAAGTTTGATGTCAACATGACATATGATCTGAGATTGACTTTTGAAAAGAAAATATAAATGGCTTTCTGAAATTAATAATAGGGATGTCAGACAAAGTGCTGAATGTAATGCAACACCCTTGTGGACCTGTTGCAAAATACACTGATAAAAATTCCCGATAAAATCTTTTGAATTTGAATTAAAGGTGAGGCACACACCATGAATATTAGGACTGTCAGCACACATGCAATACTGCTACAATTTTACTTATGAGTCTAGGGAAGGTTTTTCATTGCTCATGACAGTGTGAGATGAAATATGACCGCTATCCACATGCTGCGGACTAAAACAAGCAGTCACGACAGGAAATGTTTACTGACAGAGACTAATGGATTTATGAACTTGTTCTCTGTGTTTGGAATGGGACGCAGCCTGAAATGTTGGAAAAATAGGACTAAACTGTCCACAATTAAATTAAAAGATTTTAAGTTTATAAATAAGGGAAAACAAAATATCAAGTAGCATGCCTCGCAAACTGATTGCTTCTAACAACTTGATTTGTCAAGACAGGGATCCTGGTTGGTGACCCCCCCCCCCCAGGTCGACACATGGTCCAGTCCCACCCTCCGTAAATGTAATGTGCCTCATTCTTGACTCCCTGAGCAACCACTCGTTCAACACAAAGTCAAACCAGCGGTACCCAAGGATTCTCCGAAGAGACACAGTACCAAAGGAGTCCAGTCTTTGTCTCAGGTCACTGGATAGAGTCTATGTCTTGCAGTCATACAGCAACACAGGGAGAAACAGAACTCTGAAGACATGGACCTTTGCACCTGCACCCCTTTCCAGCAACCTCATGACCCCCCCATGCTCTCCCAGTCCATCTCCTGACTTCATAGGAAAGGTCACCAATGAAATGAAAGTCACTGCTGAGATAAGTGAGTCCATAACTGGGGCCACAGCCGGCACTAAGAGCAGTGTTGTTCCCCTGTAGTTGCTGCAATCCAGGTGATCACCCTTCCCTTTCCAGATAGAGACAACAAGTCTCATTTTCCAGTCAGTTGGGATGATGCCCATCTCCCAAGTGAAAGCAAAGATTGCTTGCAATGCCAAGAGGACAGCCTTACCATCAGCCTGGAGAAGTTCACCCAAGATACCACAGATCCATGCAGCCTAATTTATACCTGGCTGATATGCAACAGAGATGTCCAGCGTCTTAGCAGGAGGATCAGCTTTAAACAGCTTCTCAAAGTAGTTGACCCAGCATGATATAATCGCAGTGTCATCTGTGAGGACATTCCATCACACTGCCCTGACTGTAACTCTCCCCAAGTATGGCAGCCATCAGAGCAACCAAACCAATAACAGGTGGACCCACCTACAGAGATTTGGTGACTCTCTGGTCTGCATACCTCAGAGAGTGCAGTCACTGAGATGCAGAGTGTTCAAAGTTCCCCAGACAGCAGGGGAAGATGGTTATCATGCCGGAGAGGCAGGACATTCCACACACCTACTGGATGGGCCACCTCAGATTAGGACCCGAATGCCGCCGTGC